AAAAGACACAGACTAACAGGCTGGCTTCGAAAACAGAATCCCTTTTTCTGCTGCATCCAAAAACCATTCCTGAACATCAGGGACAGACATCACCCAAGGATTAAGAAGAATGGAGAAAGAAAGTCCAAGCAAATGGACCCAAGAAACAAGCCAGTCATTTTAACATCTGAAAAGATAAACTTCAAACCAAAACTGATCAGAAGAGATAGGAAAGGACACTATAGTCATCAAAGGAAAAAATCTACCAAGAGGACATTAGAATTCTTAACATCTATACACCAAACACAAGGGGATCCAAGTTCAAGCTCATAAAAGAAACATGACTACAGCTTAAACCACTTATTGGCCCTCACACACTGACAGTGGGTGATTTCAATTCCACACTCTCACCAACAGTTTGATTATCCATAGACAAGAAATGACAGAGATAAATAACTTCATTAATCACATGCACCTATTTACAAAGTAGATATTTATGGAATACTTCACCCACAGACAAAAGAATATATCTTCTCAAAATCTCATGGAACTTTTTCCAAAATTGATCATATACTTGAACACAAAGCAAGTATCAACAGATAATAAGATAACTGAAATAATACCTTGCATTCTATATGACCACTGTGAATTAAAGCTAGATAGCATCAACAACAGAAGCAATAGAAAGCTTACAAATTCATGGAAACTGAAAAACTATCATCTGAATGAAGCAATGGGCCATGAAAGAAATTAAAAACTTTAAAAAGTAGAATGAAGATGAAAATACAATATACCCAAACTTATATGCCACAATGAAAGTGGTTCTCTGAGTCAAGTTCATAGCAATAAATACCTACATAAAAAATGGAGAGATTTGGGCTGGAGAGATGGCTCAGAGGTTAAGAGCACAGACTGCTCCTCCAGAGGTCCTGAGTTCAATTCCCAGCAACCACATGGTGGCTCACAACCTTCCGTTATGAGATCTGGTGTCCCCTTTCTGGGGTGCAGATATACATGGAAGCAGAATGTTGTTGTATACATAATAAATAAATAAATAAATAAATAAATAAATAAAATCTTTAAAAAATGGAGAGATTCAGGGTTTCTCTGTGGCTTTGGAGGCTGTCCTGGAACTAGCTCTTGTAGACCAGGCTGGTCTCGAACTCACAGAGATCCACCTGCCTCTGCCTCCCGAGTGCTGGGATTAAAGGCGTGCACCACCAAGGCCCAGCACAAGTTTAGTAACTTAATTAAGCACAACTGAAAGCTCTCAAGTAAAAAGAAGAAATAACACCCCAAAGAAGAAGATGGTAATACATAATCAAACACAGGGATGAAATAAATAAAACAGAAAATAATTACAAAGAATTGGTTCTTTGAGAAGATCAGTTAAGATTAACAAGCCCTTAGCCAATTAACTAAAAACAAGTGAAAGAAGATCCAAAATAACAATGGCCCCATGCCCAGCAGTAGGTGACTAATACAAAACAAACACATGGCATTTCTGGAGGTACTCAGTCTCATAATGTTTTGTCAGGGCATTTTTTTGAAACCTTACAGATCCTTTGAGTAAATGTATTTTCTGTTTCTTTGGGATTCCTGTATGTGTGAATGTGTCTACATTTACACATCTTTCTTGGTTTTTTTTCTTTAGCTCTTTTTCTCCATTCCATCTTGTTTGTTTTTGTTTTATTTTATCTATTGTTATCCTTTAGATGCCTACTTGTTTTTTAGGAGAGACAGAAGGGGCGTGTATATTAGTAGGAAGGAAGTTTGGGAGGAATTTGAAGGAGTTGGAGGAGGGTAAACTGTAATCAGAATATATTGTATAGAAATTACAATAATAGAGTATCTAATTATTTTTTATCTAATGCTCTAACCTGAGACTGACTGTGGGTTTCCTTGAAGGTAAAGACTTTAATAGTCCTTTTAGTTGATAAAATTTGTTATAATTTACTTTTTTCTTGTTTCTTAAGATGATTTATGATTAGCTGCTCAACCTTTTAATAATATACATAGGCTTCTATTTTAAATTATAATTATTTTATTCTATTATCAAGTAGCATAATAGCTTTATTAGAATGATTTTATATAATAAAAATTTGCTTAAAATTTTGCTGGGTGTGGTAACATATGCCTTTAAATGCCAGCATTTGAGAGTCAGAAGCAGGCTTATCTCTGTAGTGCAAGGCCTGGGCTATATCTGAGACCCTGTCTCTAAAATAAATACATTTTGATGAATGAGTCCTATTTCCCATAATTTCTATCATTAATATGATTCTTCCATCAGCACCTTACCATAGACCTCGTTTAACTCTAAAGATTGGTATTAGTAAGAGTGAAATGATTGTCAACCAATGAAGAGAGAAATACAGCCCTTCTAACAGAGACAAGGCACAAGTTAAGTGCTCCAAAGACAAAATTCACAGGTCTCTCACTTTCCTGTTAGCACTGAGCAAATGTCATGCTGTTGTCCCTTTGTCTTCATCACAACAATTTCCATGGGTTCCCTGGCTACAGCAGACATCAGGCTTCTGCAGCCTAGTGGATGACAACACTACTTGGTAGGTTTGGTAGCTTCTTCAGAATCTCCAGGACAAGATGGGGATGGGTATCTTTTGATTTGCTTTTCTAGTACTGGAGGTAGAGCCCAGATCCTCACACCATGTACTCAAATGAACTACACCTCTAGTTCCAAGTTCTTTTGCTTTCCTCCCAGAGGCCCTGTACTTTGTTCTCCTTCCTGGCAGGCTAGCAAAGCCCTGCCCATTGCTCTGATGCTAACTTTCCATCTACGGTTTTGAATCCATTGTTTCCCACCAATATATGCCATGCTGTTTCTTTTTCTTTCTTTTCTTCCTCCCCTCCCTCTCCCTTTTTCACCCCTCCATCCTTCCCTCCCTCCCTCCCTCCTTCCTTTTCTCTCTCTCCCTCCTTCCCTTTCTCCCTCCCTCCCTCCCTCCCTTCCTCCTCAATGTGTAGCCCTGGTTGGCCTGAGTATCATAATGTAGATCAGGATGGCCTCTACCTCACAGAAATCGTCCTGCCTGACTCCTGAATGCTGAGATTAAAGGCACCAGTCACGAAGCTGAGCAGCTAAGCTGTTCTTCAATGCTATGCTATTTTGTCTCCCCTTTATTTTATGCCTTTTAATGTTCATATACCCTTAATAGAATCTCCACTTACAGAAAATGACAATAAAATCTACCTGTCTCTTTTCTGCAAAATTCCTTGTTTTACGTTTTTATTATTGTGTGTGCATGCAAGCGCCATAGCACCTATGTGGAGATCAAGGAAAACCTTCCGGAGTTGGTTGTCTTCTATCATGGGCTCTTTGGATAGAACTCAAGTGGCTTCCTGTTAATCCATACCTCACCTAGCCCTTTCTTACTATCTCAGTAAAAACAACTTGCCAAAGGAGGACCGTTGGCCTTAGACAAGCGGGAAAAGGAAGTACAACGAGAGACGGTGTGGGAAATAAGTATAGCCTGATTTTGTTGAACATCTAGGCAGGGCACACACAGCACATGGCATATAGTCGGTAGGCATTAAGAGAACATGACTGTAGATGTATTGAAGGAAGATCATGCCTACCTCCTCTTTCTCACCTTGCTCTCTTGAGTTGTTTGAGGTGCTTTTCTCCTTGGGTGGGGACTGTAATGCAGTGAGTTCCACAATCATGTGCGGAATGAGCAAAAGTGCTGTGACAGGGACAGATCGCAGATAGCAGACAGGTTGGAAGCAAAGACCCTGTCCTCCACACAGAGGTGACCTCAGGTCTCAGCCTGGTCCATGTCCCTTCCCCAGAAAGGGGGATCTCAGCACTAGCCCAGAACATAGCCTTCTTAGCCCCTAGGTGCTAGGCTGGCTTGCCCTTGTGGCCTTTGTCCTCGGAATTTAATCATTTACATAACACATTAGCACAGAACTCCAGGCCAGCCTGGGCACCCAGAACCTAGTCCAATGGAGCCAGGGACTCAGGCGCTGCCTCACTTGGCAGCTCCCCCACCACCCTCGACTGTGCCTGGGTAGTCTCCTGCAAGCGCGCGGGCCAGGACCGCAGTGCCACGTCCCAGTGTTCAGTGTTCAGCTTTCCTTACTCTCGCTAGAGCGGCAGCGCTTTACCAAAAGCGCAACAGTTGGATGAGTGACGCGAAGCTTGGACCCTAACAGCAAGGAAACTTGGCATGACTCCTGTTTGCTAGAGGACGTTGGGGTTTCTAGATGACCGTTGGAAGGCACGCGCTCAACGGGCGCTGGCGCCTTGGAGTGTCCAGAGCAGTAGTGTTCCAAGCATTCTCGCAGGGGGACTGGACGCACAGCGACCAATTCCATTTCTCCTTGTGCCACCTGAGTGCACCTGGACTTTGTGTGTCTAAAACGACAGAGATCAGTTTTGGTAGAACCGGCAGGCATTCTCGGCGCAGGCACTCCGGAGATTACTAATTCTTTAGTGAGCCAAGTGCTGCGGTACCAATACCCTTTATCGCAGGTCTCACCCAGAAATCTTATCGAGGTCACTTCCCATCGCAAAAGTTCCAGAAAGGCGCTCCATTCGCGACAGGTGCAGGACCTCTCGCGCGACCACGCCTCTGGTCTCTCTTTTACATGGGCTGTTTAAAGGTCTCCAGTGAGGCAGAGCCCTCGAGGAGAAGAGTCAGGGTGCAGAACGCCCGCCCTTGTTCTCGGCCTGTGACCGCATTCGGCCCGCCCTCTGCACCTCTATAAGAGCGGCAGAGAAGAGCGCACTCGGAGCACCGCCCCCAGGCGCGCTACTTCTCTGGCTCCTCCAGCGCTGATACCACTGCCTTCCCGGCTGCCTGACACTAGTTCTTCCCCTTCTCAACCACCAAGCACGGGGTGACTGAGCCACGCTCTTGGCTTCTCTTCTGCACTCTTGCTCGAGCAGCCCTAGGCAGTCTCCCGCGGTGTGATCCGCAGGTGAGCAGAACTGCAGCGCCACTGTCCGGCGAGCTCACCTTGCATAGCCCAGCGGCCAGGGCAAAACTCTGGTCCGTAGGATGAAGAACCCGATGCTGGAAGCGGTGTCCCTCCTCCTCGAGAAGCTGCTCCTCATCTCCAACATTAAGCTTTTTAGTGTGAGCACTCCTGGAGGAGGCACAGAGAAGAACCGTCCCTATGAAATCAGCTCTTTTCTCCGGGGCGATGTGCTGGAGGTGTCAAGGACCCATTTTACCCACTATGGGATCTACCTGGGGAACAACCGTGTTGCTCATCTAATGCCCGACATCCTGTTGGCCCTGACCAACGACGAAGGACGTACTCAGAAGGTGGTCTCCAACAAGCGTCTCATCCCGGGAGTAATTTGCAAGGTGGCCAGCATCCGTGTGGACACAGTAGAGGACTTTGCCTACGGAGCAGACATCCTTGTCAATCACCTAGATGAGACTCTCAAGAAGAAATCCTTGCTTAACGAGGTGGTGGCATGCAGGGCTGAGCAGCAGTTGGGGATGACCCCCTACAGCCTACTGTGGAACAACTGCGAACATTTTGCGACCTACTGCAGATACGGAGCTCCAATCAGTCCTCAGGCTGAGAAGGTAGGGAGGAGGAGAGAGACTTTCAGGAGCTGGGGTCTGGAGCTGGGATCTTTTTTGACATCTCCCCAACCGTACCATTCTTAGGAGCACTCGATTAAGTAAGGAAAGGTCCAGTATTTTTAGGGGAGATCTGTTAAACAAGTGTGTGGTGCAGGAGGGATATCTCAAAAATGTGCAGTAAAAGGGTGTAACCACACAGAACGCTTCAGTGATTCCAAAGTGTTGCTGTTACTGCTGCACAAGTCATGTTGGTCTACATGTAGTTCAAATGATCAGGGGCAAGAGACTGAAGGCCTTAGTACTTTCTCCAAGAGGAACAACTGACAGGAAGATGTCCAGTTTTTTCCTCTTGTTAGATGAAGAAAGTGATTCCCATTTGCTTAATAGGCTCAAAATTTCTGGTAGGACATTCCTGCTAGACACTCTTTGTTTCTGTGTTTGATTCAAAGAAGTTTTTTTCCTTGGTGTTGTGACTTCTTCCTAGGTGACTTTAACCCCACTTCATGCCCTCATTCATTGTTAAACATCTCCTAGATATTAGCCCCAAAGGCAGGCTGGATTTTAAATTCCCAAAGATTAAAACAATTCATTTTCAGCGTCCTTACATTTTGGAAGGTAATTTTATGAGTACTGTGGGGGAAGAAACCAAACAAACAAGTATTTGAAAATGATTGTTACATAAGCTACAAATCCAAAGGAGAAATAAGTATGTCCCAAAGAAACTGCTCAACTCACGAAGGATACTTTGTAATTCTGCTCATTCATTAGCAATTAGATGCTTTTCAACCTTGACTATCATTTTTAGGGGGTATTTACATTTGCTTTTCTTAATGGAATCCTGGGTAATCACACAATAAGCTTTGAGGTTGTTTTCATGTTTAGATGCTTTTTTGGACCAAAAGAACCAATCACCGAACTCTATAGCCTAGTTTTAATTGATCTATATCTTGAGTACAAGCCATTATGCTTTTATATGTTGGAATATTAAATTTGTTTTAGATTTCAATTGAACCAGATTTATTCTAGGAATTATTTTTTATGGTAAATTAAAATACAATGATTCATGACTCTCCCCTCTAGTCCAGGCCTGTTGAGAAGTGAACTTCCCAACATATATAAAAACTGGCTCCAAAAGTGTACCAAAAAAGGAGACATGTCAGACTTAGTTAAGATGCAAGCCAATCACTACCATAAGGGAAAACAGTTTTCCTATCCAAACCAAGTTACTCTTTCATATCACACATGTAGCACTGCTATGTATTTCTACTGAAAAAAGAAGTGTGTTTTGTGCAAGAAGTAACATATTACTCACATAAAGAACTAGTTGTAGTTTCTAATTTGGGGGAAATGTTGGTGTGTTTTACAGCAGTATAGAACTGTTTGAATTCCTGGAGCTGTCTGTATCCTCCAGTGAAACTAAGTTTCTGTGTTTCCCTTGAGTGGTCTAACAAACAATCTAGCCCCACACTAGATTTCTGCAGGGGAAAAAATACTCTCACCCAACATTTCTAATTCTAAGAACAACAAATTCTTCTCCCCTTCTCTTTTGCTTCTATTTTTTCTTTATAAAAGGGGCATTAGTACTATATGACTTCTACTTCAAAATTAAAAAAAATACTTTTTTGTTTTTAATTACATGTATGTGTGTGCATGTGGGCACAAGTTCAGGTTCCCTTGGAGGCCAAAGACTTGAGATTCTGGGTGATGGGATTATAGGCAGTTGTAAGCTACCCAAAGTCAGTACTGGGAGGAGTTTGGGACTTCTGCAAGGGCAGCATGTGTCAAAGGCTGAGCCATCTCTCCAGCTCCATGGTTTCCACTTTCTAGAAACATAAACCATTATTTGCTTCTGGGTCTGATTGTTGACATTGTCATCTTCACAGCTATGATATCTTCCACAAGCATGGCAAAACCATCTCTTAAACTTTTCCAACACCTTCCCTCAGGTGAACACTTCTTGCTAAGTGTACACTAGCAGAGCATCAAGGAGTTGGGGATACAGGGGCTTCCTGCTCAAACCTTATCTCTGAATCCACAGTGGAAGGAGGGAACCAACTCCCAAAGTTGTCCTATTGAACTCTAACTCTCTCTCTCTCTCTCTCTCTCTCTCTCTCTCTCTCTCTCTAATAAATAAGTTTAAAATGCACTAAAAGAGAGCCTTAATGTCTTTGTGAGAATGCTCTTTTTACACTTATTGACAATTTTATAGATGTATAGAATGCATTTTAATCACACACCTCCTCTATTATCCTTGCCCCCAAACTCCAGTTAACCAATGTCTACTTCCTAAGTCCCCTCCTACTTTCAAGACTTTTTATGTGTGTGACTCAAGGAATTTAGTGTCTTCTAGTTCTGGGAAGAGACACCATGCCCACCACAACTCTGATAAAGGAAAACATTTAACTGTGGTTGCTTACAGTTTCAGAGGTTAGTATGCTACTATTGTGGTGGAGAGCATGGTGGCATGCAGACAGACATGTTGCTGAGTTTTCTACATTCAGATCTGCAGGTGTCAGGAAGAGAGCTACTGGGTCTGGCTTGGGCTTTTGAAAGAAACCTCAATGCCCATCCTCAGTGACACACTTCCTCCAACAAGGCCACGCCTCCTATTCTTTGTCATATAGTGCCACTCCATGACAACTAAGCATTGAAATATATGTGCCAATGAGGGGCATTCTTATTCAAACCACCACAGCAGTTAGGGTTGTTTGTATGAGCATGGGTTGGAGGTTATTTATTGGAGTATGTACAATTAACCAGTGAAAAACTCCTTCTCCTTTAGTACCCATTCACTTGCCAGGGTCTCCTCAGAAAGAAGCAAGCCCTCCCAAGACCCTGCAGGACCTGGCTCAGTGGAAGCAGTCCCTGTGCAGCAAAGCACAGCTTCTGTGAGTTCATGGCTATGCTGTGACCAGGAGACAGCATTTAGGGCACTCTCCGCATCCTTCAGCTCTTAGATTCTTCCTATGCCCCCTTTCCATTATTGCTTTTACACAGCCTTAGAAATCATAAATAAAGGCCTTTATACTTTATATTGAGCATAAGTATATTGTAAAATTTAAATTCCTCTGTTTTTAACTTCTACTATTTGTTATACATTTTCTACTATGAATCTTTGACTTATTGCCAGGATGAATACAAATACCTCTTTTCAAGTATCTCAGGGTTTATAAAAGTAAACTAAACACCTTCTATACATTTCCTAGACATACTCTCTCTCTTCCTCCCTTTTTTGAGACAGGGTCTCATGTACCTAAGGCTGACCTCAGGCTCCCAATCTGAGGATGACCTTGAACTTCTGATCTTCTTATCCTCCTTCCCACAGGCATGCCTAATCACACCCAATTACACAATGTATAGAGTTCTGAGGACCAAACACAGGGTTTCCTGTATTCTAGACAATCACCCAACTGAGTTATATTTCCAGCCTCAGAATTTTTGCCTTTCTGGAGATGCTTTCCTGGGCTGATGCCCAAATAGATAGAGAATAGCCAGAGGGAGAGAAGTAAAGAAATGGAAAAGGAGAGAGGGAAAGTGAGTGAGTGAGTGAGTGAGGGAGACAGGTAGAGAGATATACAGAGACAGAGACCAGAGATGCATGTGCCTACATGTATGCATGTGCATCCACACACAGAAAAGAGAGAAACAGGGTCTGGTGTCTAATTCTAAGCAGGCAATAATGAACTTGAACTTCTGATATTAGTACCTCCACCACCCAAGTGCCAGGATTATAGGCATGTATCACCACACTTCATTTGTGTGATGCTGGGAATTAAACCCCTAGCTTCATGCATTGTAAGCAAGTACTCTACTAACTGAGCTACACTCTCAGGTCCTTATTCAGTTTGATTTTAACCACTTTAAGACAAAGCACTCATTACTCTATCTTGTTAGTGTAGTAGAAAGAGATACGTTAGATTTTTGTCCTATAAACAATATGTGGATGGCTAATAGGATATTGGCTATTTCTTTAGATATTATGTAAAACTGATGGCCTTGCATTCACATTGTGGACTAAAACACACAGTCAAGCTTGGCTTAATTTTACATGTAACATTAGGGGTTATGCACTTGCACAGAGAATATAATTACAACAGTAATGGAATCCTACAGGACTACTGCATATCTGTGGTTGGTCCTTAACTGAGACGTCCCTATGAGTTCCTTGACTGTATTAAACTTGTTATTTTATTAATTTAGAAATTATGTCAGTCACAGTGGTGCACATGTTTGACCTTAGCACCCTACCTAGGTAGAGGCAGGAGGATCTCTGTAGTTCAAGTCAGCCTGTTCTACATAGTAAGTCCCAGGCAACCAGGACATATTGAAACTCTGTCTCAAAGCAAGGAAAAAAAGAATATAAAAACTAGGGCTGGAGGGCTGGTTCAGCAGTTAAGAGTTCATACTATTGCAGAGGACCCAAGTTTGATTCTCAGCACCCACAACTGCCTATAACTCTAGCTCTGGGTAGGGTTGTATTTCTGATGCACATACCCATACACAGAATTAAAAATAATAAAAATAAATATTAAAAAGTAAGGGTTTTAGAAACTTCCTCAGCTTCAGGATATTCCATTAAGGCCTGGAGTTCTGGATCAACTTGAGCAATACAGCAAAACCTCATCTCTTATACAATGCCATATTCTAGGAAAGGATCCTAAGTCTACTATGAATAGCAAAACTCACATGAAAATTAATTAAATCCTAGCAATGACAATGGTACAGAGATAGCTGTCAAGACATACAGCATATTTATGTACATAGATGAACAGTAGCTATTCTTTTAAATGAAATATTTCATTTATCCTCAAGGCTACCCTGGTATTCCCATGAAGAAAGAAGTCTAGACTGCTTGAATGTCTTTTTTTTTTTTGGTTTATTATAACAGGGTTTCTCTGTGCAACCCTGGCTTTCATGGAGCTCATTTTGTAGATTAGGCTGGCCTCAAACTCACAGATATCCTAAATGTCTTATTTGATGTCCTGAAACAAATAAGACAGAGTCAGAACACCATTTCCAAGTAAAATTACTTTTTACATGAAAAAAGTGATAAGGTAGAATGTATCCATTAGGGGTGGGAACCATATTTCATGTCTTTATTTCCAGGAGCCAATGATGTGTCACATAACCAATGGTGAATTTAGCTAGGCAGAAGATATGACAACCCAGTGTGATTGACTCTACGTCTTTAAAGTTTAAGAGATATAACTTGTATCATAAAATTCTAGGGTAGTGAGGTAGAAGAACTGCCTAATCTTTAAAAAAATTAGAAACTTCCTTCTAAGGATAGTTTTAGAATATGTTAATTAGTATTAAGTAATTTAACGTTGTCTTTAATCTTTAATTGTGGGTAACTTTTATGTGGCTCATTCTATAGTTTTTTTTATCATTTCATAGGAACGTAAGTATTCCTGTTAGAAACTAAACAACTTGGAAGCCTACTTAGTCTATGGTGTAAGTGCTTCCTTTTAGCCATGGTTCCTAATATTATTAACTTTTGTTTTCCAGTTTCATGAGACGGTGAAGACAATCATTCGTGATCAGAGAAGTTGTCTTGCTTCAGCTGTCTTGGGATTATTGTCCATTGTCTACACAGGCCTGGCATCATATATGACCCTTCCTGCAATCTGCATCCCATTCTGCTTGTGGATGATGTCTGGCTAGCGTCCAATCCCCTTGTGGATGTGGATGTATTCTGTGTGGGATCTTGCTTGTATTTATAGAACACAAAACTTCACAAGCTTGTTGAGAAAATGTGGCCTTCAACACTCTGTTCTAGATTTTAAAAAAAAAAAAGTGATTAAGACTCATACAAAGTGCTTACCATGTAAGCCACAACAAAGCCTTTCCGTATTCTCTCGGGCAGTTCTGCTGCAGGGTGCTGTGAGCTCCCAGAAGCACCACAGTCTGTCAAGACTCAGCAGTCAGAAAAGGAGATCCTGAGGTGACAGCCACAGGAGATTATTTGGGTTATTCTTGTCCTCCTGTAATCATATTCTGCTGTTAGGCTTATCAATTGAGATCACTAACTTTACTATAAATGTACTCTGCTTATTGAATGACTGACATTAAAGGGGACATTTTCCCTTATTTAAATGAGTATGTTTGATAATTAGCCAAAAAGAAACCAAATCTCACATTCTGTTTTGCCTTTCTTTTTGTAATAATATAATTTTCAAGTCAGTTGAGAACATTATTTTCATGTTCTGAGATCAGTGTTGACAGAGCTTACTGAATGGAAGTAACTGGCCAGGAAGCATAGATATGTTTTCTCCTGCAGAAACAGTGTCAGTAGCTATTTATATTCACTTTTGAATAGTCTCTGTGTTTTCCTTTTTCTTTTCATTTGCCTGCATGACTACTTTAAAAATGTAAATGCATATAGATTTGAAGTAATTCCAGTATTTGGTGTATATACATACTAAATAAATACACCAATATCTGCACACACATAGATTGATAGGCAAACCGTATTTCTTGTTAATAAATCTGTATTTATGTCGTTGGTTAGTTATTTTTTAAAGCTAAATTTACTAGTGTAAAATTAGTCATGTCAGATTTGTTTTACTATCAATTTTCCACTTTAAGTGTAGTTTATGAACTTTTTGGAGGTGTGTCACAGCAGTATATAAAGCCTAAATAAGTGGAGCCAAAGGAAACTACTCTTTGACAAAATTTACAATGCCAAGCATGGAAGGTGATTTTACTGAATCCGCTGGATCAGAGTGGAAACATAGCAGTGTTAAAACCATGCCTTCAAGACTTTAGCAAATTCACTAAAAATGACACCATAGGTTAGAGTTGCATTTCAGGTATTGGAACTGTTTTGCCAGAGGTGGTGCATGCCTATAATACCTGCACATAGAAGGCTGAAGCAGCAGATGGAGAGCTACAGGTCTGTGTAGGCTGAAGGACACTTTTCTGTTAAATGTCAGCATTGCAAAACAGGCACTGAAGAGATGACTCAGCTGTTAAGAACTATTGCAGCTCTTTCAGAGCACCAGGGTTCCCAGCAACCCCTGGTGGCTTACAATCTGTAACTCCAATTCCCGAAGATACAACACCCTCTTCTGGCCACCGTGAGCACAGCACATACAAGGTAGACATACACACATGCAAAGCACTCACACACACAAATGAAAAATAAAGCTTAAAAAAAAAGGAATCACAAAATAGCCAAGCATGCTGGCAAGTCTTTATTCCCAACTCTTGGGCTGTGGAAGCAGGAGGATTGGGAGTTTAAGACTAGCCTGCGACACAGTGGGGTTTAAGACTTGTTTGCATCACACAGGGGGTTTCAAGACCATTTTGCACTACACAGGCAGTTCAAGGCCAATCTGGGCTACGTGAGACCCAATCTCAAAATAACAGCAAAGGAATCACAAAATAGTGATTCTTATGGAGAAAAGGAGGAACTGTTTTAGTCAGTGATCCAACTGGAACAAGACTGGAACAAGACTGAAGAGCAGATCATAGTTCAACTGAGGTTTTATTACCCCTGAGTTTTCCTTCAACAAATTCAGCTGGGGTATAATAATGATTAAGCTTTATGTTTAGTATTCAAATTAAACATTTAATTCCTTTTATGGCAAAATCAAAGAATATAGGTGTCCTATGGTCCTGTTGCAACCACTTAAATTACCTTAAGCATCTGTGCATGCTTACAGCCATAGTGTTAGTGCCATTTCCCTTCACCCTGGGAGCACTTGTTTAAGTGAACTCATTATGAACTTGTTTTCAGACATCAGTATTGTAGATAGCAGAAAATACTATTTGACATTAAATCTGTGTTTGTAGATAATGATTCCTCCTTGCATACTATGGAAGTTTTGGGGATTGGAATTGACATTACTAATCTTGAGTCTGTTCATATTGTTAGAACAGGAGTCAATTCACCATTCATTGGATGCTTACTTTGTGCTAAGCACTGAAGTGCTGCAACTTCCTGTTCTAGCTTTTTTTTTGTTTTTTTTTTGTTTTTGTTTTTGAGACAGGGTCACATTCAGTAGACCAGATTTGCCTCAAATTCAACTCCTAGAGCTCTGTGGGCCTCTGGGATTAAAGGTATGTTCCACCACTCCTGACATTTTTAGCCACCTATAACAGCCTGTATATAGTGTGGTGGGAATATTTCTTTCCTAACTGAGGCAGGCAGGTCATGAATTTCTCTAGACTTCATTCATCAGTCATGATCCAAGTTCCTCATATCACAGTATTTCTATTCTATTTTATACAGTGATAGCCAAGTCAAGTCTGACAAACTTTTTCACCTTGTTTTGTTTTGCATAAATGAGAGCCAAATGGACTTACTGGATTTGAGATGAGCTAATGCAAGTGTCAGGGAGTAGGCTGTGTATGGAATAAAAAGATAAGATACATGGGCTAAAATATAGCCCAATAGACATAGTTGCTTTGGGATGTCAGTGATTGGTATCTGAACAGAGATAACTGAAGGCACACAGAGAGAAGGAACTAAGTTTACCCTTAGCTGCTGAAATGAAAATCAGACAGCGGGCACTGAGACTTGAAGAATGAGGCAGACTGTGGACAGGGCATTGCACACATGCATGTTAACAGCATAGGGAATGCATGCAAACTGCTTATAACATGCACCATGAATAGCTGTGAGGTATTCTATGTCAGGCAAATGAAAGGCCCAGCAGAGCAAGGGTGGTGACTAGACATGCAGAAAGCAATGCTGAGATAGTGTAAATCTTTTGTAGATCAAGAAGTTTGGACTTTATGGATAGGCAGTGGAGAACTGGAGTATAGAAAGGTAACTTCCAAGAATAAAGCAGAAAGACCGGGTGAGGGTAGGATGAAGAGACCTGAGAGGTTTAGCTAAGGTCTTTTGCACTGTCAAATAAGGGACCAGAGCAGTGGTTCTCAACCTAATGCTTTAATAAAGATCCTCATGTTGTGACCATAAAATTATTTTCATTGTTAATTCATAACAGTAATTGTGTTACTGTTATAAATTGTAATGGAATTATCTAATATGCAGGATATTTGATGTGTGACCCTTGTGAAAGCATCACTTGACACTCCCACCCCTACAAAGCATCATAACCCACAGGTTGAGAATCACTGGTCTAGCTGGTAAGATGGCTCTGTGGAGAAGTGTACCTTCTGTGAAGCCTGAGGACCTGAGTGCAAATAAGGGTCTGTAGCTGCAAGGCAAGAAAGCAAATGTGTCAAAGTACCAATCAACTTGCACCACACCCTTAGAATTGACTGATGAGCAACTCTTGATGGACTGTTAGCGGATATCATGTATCCTTGCTTTTCCTGAGAAAGAGCTGATTGCTGCAAAATAAATGAACTTGACTAATGTGTATATGTTGGATACTCCTGATCTTTGCTTTGCTAAGCATGCTACTTTTTAAGGACAAACAAGGAAGCATGGATTGGTTGTTTTAATTTTTGTCAGAACCTATTTCTCACTTCCCCATGAACAATGTCTAAGACCAAAAGCTGCTTTCCAGGAACATGTAGTTACTGTAATGGCAAAGTCTTTTGTTATTGATAAGAAGCATATGGGAAGAGTCTTTGTTTTATATGATTTATCTGGGGTTTTACTTAGCCTAGATTTTCTAGTTGAACTAATTTTATATTCATATACATGTGTTTTGAATAAAATCGATTCTACACATCATTTTCTTGTCTTTCAATTTTAAATAACTAAGAGTAAACAGGAACTATTTTTGAACTCAGTAACCTGAAGAATATTACCTGTCTAAGCTAATTCACTATTTATTGAATGTACCTTTCTATAGTTGAAGTTGAAATGAAGTTGATGTGATTTGCCTGTAGACTGATACAATCTATATTAGCCACATCTTTATGCCTACCTTAATTATGAGGGACTAAACAGCAAATCCTTCATCTACCTGACAAAATAAACCACAACAACTTATCAGAGCTATGCAACAAGATTTTCAGTGCCACCAAAGCAACATGCAGCTGTACTCTGGCTGTGAGTGAGATGAGAATGGGGTCTGAAATATGTGTGTTGGGGGTGGCAAATGCAGCAGGCTTTAAAACACACTCATAGCCAAGGGTACAGTTAGAATCTTAGTCTTATAGCTTTGGGGCCTGGTGAAAAAGAATGGTATGAAGACAGGTTGAGTGCCAGGGAAGGAGGACATTAAAGAATGCAGTTACTTGGAGTACTGCCTAACCAGCCTATCTAAATTTCTATACTGCTCTAGTCTGCGTTATCTTTGAGAATAGGAGGCTTGTAGGCTAGAAGTCTCTCATCAGTTGATCAAAACCATGAGATCTACAAACTCTGTCGGAGTGATCCACACCCCACATCAAACTTCATTAATAATCTCATGGATATACTAGATGACATACTATAGTAGTAACACAGCTAGTAAAGGACGTAGTGCCCAAGGTTCCAGAAAATCCAAGGTTCCAGAAAATCTCCACATTCCCAGAAAGAAATTACTGTCCCGCTTATTAGCCTACCCTACTCTCTCCTCTCACCCTATGTCTATAATCTTCCAACCCCCATGGGCAGAGAGGCTGACTCCAAGTTTACTTCTCACTTGTCATTTTCTTGCTGAAAAATAAAATTCTCCTTACTGCCTCAGCTGCTGGTGGCATTATTAGTTCCACAATTCTGAAAGGGGAAAAAGGGTCCTGTTTGAGGGCAATAT